TTTTTTTTTTTTTAAGCAAGACATACAAAGTCTGAATGGTATAAAAAATTATTTGGGTAGAAAAATACTTACATGTGCATAAAATTTTCTGGGAGCAGTAGGAGGTTTGGGAAGCTTTGGGTTTTCATTTTTTCTTATTCTTTGTTATTATAATTTCTTGCTGTATTCATTTAAATTTAATAATAAGGAAGAAGAGAACATTAAAAAATGCTGCTTCTTCATAAGAGATGTAATAGAAAAAGTAGCTATTTAAATATTGTATACTGTATAGGTTTGGGGTGGGGGTTGGATTTTTTTTTTTTAAGTAGGCTCCACGCCCAAACATGGCGCTTGAACTCATGACCCTGAGATAAAGAGTTGCATGCTCTAGCTGACTGGGCCAGCCAGGCGCCTCTTTTTTTAATTACAAAAAAAAACTTTAAATTAATTAATTTATTTAAAGTAGGCTCCACACCCAATGTGGGGCTTGAACTCATGACTCTGAGATCAAGGGTCACACCCTCTACCGCCAGCCAGGTGTCCCCAATTTTTTTAATTTGGGTATAGTTGACACACAATGTTACATTGGTTTCAGGTGTACAATATAGCAATTTGACAAGTGCATACATTATGCTCTGCTCACTGCAAATGTAGGTACTATCTCATAGGCTTTATAACTTCAAATTAACCACCGTGATAGAAAGCATACTGGAGCTAGGAAGCATTACTCAGTATGAAGGAACAAACACTGTGAGCTCCTGAGTCCTGTCTGTGTCCTTAGCATCAGGCACTTCTCAGGGGCCCATTAAGTATCTGGAAAGAAAGAAAAGAAAGGGGAAAGGAAGCAAAGGTAATACAACTGAAAAAAGACCCTACCAAAGCTCATTTAGGTAGCTTTAATATATTCACATCTGTAGGTTTTGATGATCTGCATGAAGGTGAAGGGGTTTATAAGCCAATAGGAAAATCTACCGAGAATCTGTAGGGATCAAAAAAGAAATAGGTTGTCCCTTCTTTATATGTGACTTCAACACCAAAATTATAATGATAGAATTGAAGACGGTCAATAAATCATTTTATAACAGCTGATAACTAAAAGTTAAGAAATGTTTAGGTTGGAACAGATTCAGTAAAACCTAGCGTGTACTGACAAAGTAGGCAAATATAATTATCTGGTTCTACTAGTCATTGTTGATCTACAGACAAAAGCTTAAGGAGGAAAAGAAAAATCTGAGAACGTGACTATGGAGCCAGGAGATCCTCAGGCATGAGAGAAATTCCTCAGACCCACTAGAGAAGCTGGTCCCAGAGACTGGGTAAATGCATAGTTTCTTTGAGCCATGCAAAAGAAAAACACAGTTGTGGGGAAGGGTTACAATTTAGGAACTGCTCCTTTCTTTTTCGTTTTTGTTGTTGTTAGAAGTTCGCCATTCACGCTGTTGAATTTTTTTTTTCAATAATGATACAGTGAAAAAAAAGGGTTTGGCTCTTCAAAAACTTCTCTTAGAGCCGAATCTACTAAAATGTTCCTAATCCTTAAGGCATAAATAAGGCATACAAATAGAATAAGAATCAGTGAGAGCCTATTTAGCAGCATACCTCGACAGTGTAGTTGTTAGTAGACTGCTATTAATCTGGGAAAATGGTAAAGTTTTGTAAGAATTTGTCCGGGCGCCAATGTCTTGAAATTTTACATAATTTGCAATTTACAATGTATTTCCTTATCTAGAAACAGTGACAATAATGTCTGCCACATAAGGCTATTGAGAAAATTAATGATAATGAGTCTGAAAGGGTCCAGCATAATATCTGGCACCAGTTTTCATTTTCTGTATCTAGTTCTGAATTATACAAATACAAAGTCTTTGACAACATCCTTGTTGAGGATAAAAAATACACACGGAGAAGAAGTAAACTGCTAAAAATTAAGGGTTATGAGAAAAATTGAGAGTAACTGTTGGTGATAGAAAAGGATAAGATTTCATGGTACCATGCTCCTTCCTTCAGATGGACACTTCCTCCCCTGGTTCAGCTTCTTCCTTTGTAAAATTAGGATAGTCCCTGCCTCCTAGTGTTGTCGGGGGTTGTCCATGAGATAAAGTACGTAGGAAAACTAATACTTCATTCTGTAAATGGTACCTATTAGTCACAATAACCAAAATTATTTTTTCTGCAGAAGATTATAACATGTTTTGATAATTGCTTTTGAAAATACGAAAATTTGAAAAAAAATACGAAAACTTGTATCTAAAATGGTGACTAGTTGATTTTAGAGTAAGGAAAAAGAGTCTTAGATTGTAGCATGGAGGATTTTATTTTCAGATAGTAATTGTTGGAATGCAGAATAGATTTTCAAGGGAAATTAAGAAATTGCTGTCTTTGGACGTCTGCAAAAATAGGAAACATTCTTCTGTGGTATGACTTGGCTGTTGTTTCTCATTTGACAAAAATTGCTAAATTCTACATATTCTTTGCCAGACAGCCAAGTTAAGAATCTTGCGTCAGTCTATATGAAATTGTAATAACTCACTATGGATGTTGAAAGTTTCTTTTTTTTCTTTTTTGAAGATTTTATTTCTTTATTTGACAGAAAGAGACACAGCGAGAGAGGGAACACAGCAGGGGGAGTGGGAGAGGGAGAAGCAGGCTTCCCGCGGAGCAAGGAGTCCAATCTGGGGCTCGATCCCAGGGCCCTGAGATCATGACCTGAGCCGAAGGCATACACTGAATGACTGAGCCACCCAGATGCCTGATGTTGAAAGTTTCTTAAGACAAGTCTTGGGGCACCTGGGTGGCTCAGTCGGTTATGCATCCAACTGCTGGTTTTGGCTCAGGTCGTGATCTCAGGGTTGTGAGATAAAGCCCTGCGTCTGTGCTTGAGATTCTCTCTCCCTCTCCTTCTGCCCCCCTCCACCCCCCACTCATGCTCCCTCTAAAATAAAAAATAAATCTTTAAAAAAAAGACAACGTAAGTTTTCTCTAGGCATCTGAAGGATAAAACTACTGAGCTGAGTAGATGACTACCAGTTGAGCACCATATACCTGTGGTCTATATAGATCTAATACGCCCATTTCTCCACTAAGAGTCAATCCTGATAAATAACTATAAATCAAAGTAGAATTACAAAATAATGATGCAATTTGCCTATGAAAATTAGTCTTTTTTTTTTAAAGAAAATTAGTCTTACTGGTTTCTAATTATTTTTAACTTATTTTTATTTATTT